TCTGCAGCTCCGCCTCCTTAAGAAGGAGCCTCCTGATGAGCAGATTGAAGACAGGTGTTGCAGTCAGCTCATGCCCCCAGGAGATCTTGTGCGCCCTCTGGTGGAGAAAGTGGACAAAACCTCCAGATCCCAACAAGAGCTTAATTTACCTGTCATTCAGTGACACGTCCTAAAAAAAAGTATGAGCACAGATGCTCTTTTTTAGACTTGAGGTGTTGAAATATCTCTCCAAACTCCAGACTTGAGGCTGAATTTCAACATAGTGCTTTAAATGGGGCTTAAACATAGTTATCACTAGTGGGGGCTTGAATACAATTTTGCTCTTCTTCTAGGTGTTGCCACATGTTGTGCTGGTACGCAACACATAAAAGCTAAATCAATAGATAATTTATGGCTTCTTATAGAAAAAACAAGGAGTTTTAATAGTTTTACAAGGAAAATAAATCTTTTTAAGCAACAGAAACAAATATTTTCTCACTTTGTATATTTCAGGTTATGGATGTGAATGCCCCCTACACTTTAACAGATTAGCAGGGAAGAAAAAGCCACAAACACAGCTGATTCATGATTTAAACATTTTAAGTTCTTCTTAAAGCGCAAATCACATCCATTTTTTTAAATAATACAGACCGCATATAATGATTGCAAATCTAAATGTTGAGGACTGTTGTTACAGAGGTATACATAACTCATACATAACTTTGAGATTAAAATATATCCTTATGTTTAAAATTTTAAATAAAAAAGTTAGAAATGTAGTTAAAATGACCTTTAGAAATAATGCAAACTTCTTCATGCATAAGGTATCAAAAGAAATTATAAAGTTGTAACTGGACAAAAAAAGTCTTCAGTGTTTTTTCCATTTATCACATTCATTTAAGAATAATTTTATGAATTTAGTACAAAATCGTTGACACAGATTTTAAACATTAATTTTGGAGCATGAAGCAAGCAACACATTATTTTCAGTTTTCTGTAATATTGACCTTAGACCTTCATTTTGCGCCACACATGCAGTTTAGTAAGTTTAATTGATATTTTTTTATATTTAGTCTTTAAGATGTACCTGATGCTTGATGAGGGACCTAAAGCTGTCAGTAAACCAACATAAAGAACCCACTTGTCTGCCAATTCTTCGTGGGAGGGGTAATTTGCTAATACTTCATATTTGCGTGCAATGTAAATAAATGCAGCCCAGATCATTTTCATTTCAGCACTTTTTATTGCTCATTTGGAACTGTTAATGCATTACAGTACAAAAGTGAAGAGTATAAACACACACAGAAATGAAATAACACCAACTGGACACTTAACATAGTGAACACATTACTCACACAAAAGCATGATGGTAGTGGTATCATGCTGATGTGAAATTCCTGAACTGAATTTAAAGAATGTCTGAGTCAGTGAAAACGTCTTATGAAGCTAAATATAAGAAAAATCTCATGGTAACACATTAACCCTTTTTAAATCCTATTTCTTCTTTTCTAAAAAAAAATCAAGAATTTTATATTCAGTGCCACAAACACCACTGATGTGTTTTTATAAAATAAAATAACAATGAAATAAATGTAAAAAAAATCCCACTTGCATTTTTTAATCAGCTTTTGTTTTTATCTTTTTGCCACATGTCTTTTGACAAACGAAGCTGCAGATCTTAAAAAAGACGAAAGTGACGAGCAGAGCTATAACTGTGACCAAAGCTAGGACGTCCAGACTGTGGTACTGGTACCAGCTGAGTTGATGGGCCTGAACCCGCAAGTGCTTTGCTCCCTTGTTTCTCATGGTGAATTCGATCCAGAAAACTGCCTCATCCCGGGCACTCATGGGTCTGTTATGTTGGATTCTTGACAGCCGCATTGCATTTTCCTTGTAGCTATGAAATTATGTAAAAAGAGTAGAAATCAGGATATCTGAAAATACTTTTAAACATTATGCTTTAGATCATTCTGAAGTCAGTTTCTATTTTTACAGGAACACTGAAAATAGTATGTAACATTTACAAAATAAAATTATTTAAAAACTTACACTTTTTCATTAATTACAGTGTTGACCGCATCTCTAAGGCTCTCAGTTGTTAAAGAGTTAAAGTTAACAGCAACTGCTGCTCCTTTGGCCTCCATGTGCACCATGTTGTCTGCCTGGTCACCAAACATGGGGATTCCCACCATGGGAACGCCGTGATAGATGGCCTCATAGATTCCGTTTGTCCCGCCATGAGTGATGAAAGCTCTTGCTTTAGGATGACCTGATAGAAATGAAAGTTATTTAACACATGCAGTATGGCTCACAGTAAATATGTCGACCAGTTCAATATTAAAATTTTAAAGCATGCAAATTATAATAAATAATAATCATAAATAAATGTTACAATTTCAATGTAGTATTTTTCCTCATTTCAAATTCAGTGGGTAAAATAACTAAATCAATAACTATCAACATCGACTGATGTGAAAGGTTTATGTTGTAAAACATTTTTCCACCAAATTGCACAGTCCTACACATACAACAATCAGAAGTGCTTCTAAAATGGAGGACATTTTAACGGGCCTTTTTGACTTTAAAAGAGAGTTGTAATCAAGTTTGTTAAATTGAAATTAATAAAGGACTCAGCTCAGTAAAACCTTTACTGAATTCTGACCTCATTAGATTGCGTTAAGCACAACATTTCAAATAACATTTCAATTAAAAAGTCAACTTTTCTAGTGTCCATGCAATGTTCCCAACACGTAACTCACTTAGCACATTTAAAAAGTAAGGTGTAATAATCTAATTATCTAAATTATTGAGGAACCAAGTGACTTTTCTGTTATTCAAACTTTAAAACAACTGTGATTTCAATAATACATATAAAAGGTTTAATATGAATCCATCGATTATCAAAATGTAGTAGATAAAGTTATAAAGTTATTTTATTATACGTGTGTGGTGGGGCAAGTTAGCTGAGAAACTTTTTCAAATGCCATTTATTTATCTACATATGATTATTATACATTGAATATTAATGATTAAAAAAAACAAAAAAAAAAAGATGTCCGTAGATTTTAAAATCTATGGACATTGTTGGAACAGATGCTACACTGAAAAATAGTGCTGTGCAAGTAATATATAAAATTGGAATCTGTCTTTTATTCCAGTTAGATTGGATTCACACCCTTTCAGACTACACTGTTGTTGACTACTTCCTGGAAACAATAACAGTATGCAATTCAAGTGATTTCAATCAAGCTCCCTTCCCATGACTACAAGCCTATTGCTGTCCTGTCTACCCGTATCTCAGCACTCCAAATGTTCATTGTATAAAATATAAAATGCAGATATTTTCTGCAGAAGGCAGTGTCTTCTTAAAAAGTAACTTTAATCAATTAACTTAGAAAAGCATAACTTTATACCGTAATTACCATAATGGCTTTCTAAAAGTAAAAAAAAAAAAAAAGCATTTAACTTACTGAAATATAAAGCTGTCAATCTCTCATTCCCAACTTTGCAAATATATAATATAATAGATTGCTCTTTTTTTTTTTAATTAGCAGAAATCAAATCTGACAGATTAATTGCGGATCTGTAAAAAACCAAGGTCGACTACTGCAATGTATTACAGTTTATAGAGCCCATAACCCCTGTTCTGGAAAATGCTTTAGTGTATTTTTTTTAAAACTCTTTAACATTAGCACCATCGTACTAATACCAACGTATGCCTTTAATTATAGGTACCCACCCAGCAGGTCATTTTGTGGAATCCAGTCATACACCTTTGTATTAGAACCCAGAGTTTGGGGCCTTTCACCACTGTATCTCCACAGCACCTACAAATATTAAAAAACGTAAAATAAACACAACAGTGTTTCAGATCAAACAGATTGTGTACAGTTGAGCTGCCAGACTAAACTCTACACATTGTATGATTTTGCAATCGTACTCAGCTACAGCTCAAACTGTGCAACGAAATCGCAGGAGGAAAAAGTTCACAGCTCATTATGTATGTTCTTACACCGTACGGCCCGACTCTGATGCGATTTAACTGCTCACACTGTACGTCCAGAAACCACACGTCGCACTCAGCGCCAAGAGATGGCACTGGTCAGACTCTTCAATCTACAGGAAGAAGAACTCCCTTTTTTGCACACAAATTTCTGGTAAATCGGCTCGTAGCTCTACTTCAACAGCAAGATTTACCAACAAATACCTGACGAGGGCCAACTGAATTTAAAACATGTTAGATTTTCTCCCGACCTTACGATTCCTGGTTGGGATGTGGATAATCAGCCCTTGTTACCCCCTGTACACTACACGACGCAGGACACAAGATCAGGCTGAAACTCGTCCCGATCGAAAATAATTCTCGCATGACTGGAGAATCGGCCCAAAAAGGGTAAAAAAAATCATACAGTGTATACACCCCATGGTGTTAGGACTGAATTAATACACAGTTTTTCTTGTTGTAATGATGACTCGAAGAGCCTTATAGTAAAATCATGTTCATCCATATGAACTCACATTGGCTCCTTCCTGTAAAAATCAAAATCATTTTGGTAATAATATATTGAGTATGAGGGGGGAAAAAAATTGTGTTATTCTTTACCATCTTATAAATTCTTTGATTCCAACTCTTTGGTTAGAGAAAAGTATGGTAAAATTGACTAAGATTTTCTACTATTCTCTGGCTGATTATGGCGAGAAAAGCAACAAAAGCAATACATGTGGTAGTGAGACATTTAATATTGCTGACATTTGGAGATCCTTCTGACCTTTTGTGGAATCTGAGCGAGGGCTGAGGCTATCATGTTTGCTTTTTCTATGCTCACATTCTTGACCATAGATCCCAAAGAAAAGACCACGATCCCGGCATCTCCAGAGCTTTGGACAAATGTTTCCATTTCCTGCAAAATAGTAATACTTGAACCATTTGATAAAACTTGATTACAGCCCTTTACTCAGAATGTTAAAGGAATATTGTGGCAATTTAATTTACTTCAAAAGCATGGATTATTACCCTACCTCTGGTAAAGGTTTAGCCGGTCCACAGTGGATCCCGCCCACAAATTTAAAATTTGGAAGGAAAGGACGAGGAAATTCAAAATCCCAGTAAGTTCGCATCAACCAGATATCAGCATTGCCCATCAGCTCACAGGCACTGGTGGGTTTTCCTAATGCAGCGGAAACATAAAACGTAAAAGGTTATCTTAAACTACACTGAAGATTTTAAAACATTGTGTTCCATAAAGTTCATTTGTCTTCTCTAATTCTCTCAAATTTGCTTACCTCTGATTTCAGAGTAGTATATGTCAAGTTCATTCCACAGAAACTGTTCCATTACTTTGTCCTGCAGAGCATAGAAGAGGACGTTCCACAGTCTCTCTGAGAAGTCCATCTTGTCTGTGAGTTTGCTCATAGCACCAGGGACAAAGGAAGGTGGAGCAGGTAGCTGACCACACATCCTTTCCCAGTTATGGGCTAAGGAAAAACGCAGCGAGTAAACGAGGGGGATGCCCAACATGTCTGCAGTCAATTCACTCCCAGGGTAGATGGGATCAGCAAGAAGCAAATCATGTTTTCCATCTTTTAATTTTTTCATGATGGTTTCTGATTTTACAACTCCGTTCAGCATACTTAGAAAAGCCCTCATGTTTTCCTTTAATAATCCTATGAATTTAACATATATGTCAAAGTAACTCATGAACTGCATCTCGTATACGGAGAAGTGAAGAAAGTCCTGAAATAACCTTTCCATTTCATTCACAGAGAGAGTGATGTTAAAAGGTTCGTACTGGAAGCGAGAAGGTTCGCTGCTGTTCATGAACATCGATGCGCTTGGAATCAGGACGGTCACCTGATGTCCTCTGTCCACCAGGGTCTCCAGTAGAGGCTTCATGTTGATCCAATGGCTGGCCTCAGTGTACCACACCAAAATCTTTCCTCCATTTGAGAATTTTGAAGCACCAAGTAGCAACAGGACTAAAACAGTAAGGTGCAGCTTCATGATGACTGTGTGTCTGCAGTCAAAAAGAGCTTTGGCGTATTTAACAGCTGCATCATAAAGATACTGATTAACTAAATGACCTCTGACTTGCTGCTCTTTGCACTGAATAATACAAGATAACAAAGTCACTACTCGAAAGTGTTAAGCAACAGAAAAAGAAATGACTGTAAGCGTTGGTTAGTTACTTGGTTAATCACTTCTGTTTAAATGTTGTACAGTTATGCATTCAAAAGTTAATTAAATGACCTGAACAGTTTTCATGTACGTATGTATAAATCATACAATATTTACAACATATTAATAATATTATTAGTCCACAGTTTGTCAATTAGTTTGTCAATTGGTATGCTAGTCATGTAATATTTAGTCAAATTAATTCAAGACTGTTATGTGTTGTTCTGTGAACATGCTCACAGCTGGTGGTGCATTAGGACAACAGACATACGTGTGATTTGAGCTTAAATCATGGTGAAACTGTGAACTCTGTGTAACACTTACGATGAGTTTACAGTTGATAAAACATATAATAAGACCAGTGCTAGGTTCAGCTATGAAAGTAGAGAAATGTGTAAGTTTATTAATGACCACAGACCAGAAAATATGATTTAACTGCCGGCTTATTGTTTGAAAAGAGCAATATTACAAACAATAGACATACAATGACACAAAATTCAATTCAAAATAGTTTCCCTATTTGTTTCAGAATAATCGGTTTGACCCCTGTTTAACATTAACACCTAATTTTGGATATTAAAGGATACTATTTATTTAAACCTAGGTTATAGTTATATTTATAAGGGGCTTTAATTTCCTGTTTCAACTATTTCTTGTTTCTATTATAACCCAACAGACAATTTACATTCCACACACTTACAATGAATACTGAAAATGGTTCAGGAAGAAAATCAATAAAACACAGCAGAAACAATTCAGCAAAAGATTGGTTAACTTATGCTTCAATCAATGTCCTTTCTCTCTGTTGATCCTGAAGGGTTAACTCTGAATTCACTGCTTTTTTTAGCAGGAAAAAAATTGGCAAATCATACCAGTTTGGATTATTTGAAATGTCCAGCAGGGGGCGTATCTCCTGCTAGACGGCAGTTTTAGGGCTTCTGGGTTACGGCTCGCCATCCTGTTTCTCTCTAGTGGAATCCAACTCAGCAATCGACTTCCCCGGTCCAATCTCAGGCAGAAACTTAAAGGCCTGGTTTAATAACCAACAAAGCATAGCAAAAGTTCTTTTTAGCTTTGCTTTCTACTGAATAAAGTAATATATAAATATATATAAAAATATATTTTTTTTACTATTTTGAGACCTATTTATTTCCTATTTATTTATTTCGTATTTTATAGCTATTTTTATGAAAAGGTTTATGTTTAGTGAGGGCTATGGTTACCTGGGTTACACCTGCTCACATATATGTACGGTACTAAATTCACAACTACCTCCATTCAACATACAGGAATGTATTAAAAGATAATTTAACTCCAGTATGTAGTACTGTAGTAGGCGGTTGCTGTAAAGTATGTGATTAAGGGAAGACGCTGCTTTATCCAATCTCTGGGGTTACCAGGTTCCAAGCTTCTCCTGTAAAACTAGGAATTAAAGGTCCAGATAGCCCATTGTTTGAAGCAGTTTTACTCAAGCTTTGAGTGTGAAGAATGTGTTACCAGCAGAGACGATCCCCACGTGTCCTACCCTACCTAATATGGACACATCTGGATCCAAGCACAAAGACAATGTTGGTGTGGGGGAACAGAAATGTATATTTAACTGATTTGCAGGGGGTCCAGGATGCCCTTCTTCTGGTAGCGGGCGGCAGACGTCTCAGTTCAGAGTACTGAAGAATCCTGGTCTGACAAATTAATCCATTTTGGATTCACTTTTTTGGTCCAAAGAGGGAAATGCAATTCCAACCCATTCTAAAATTCTAGTAAGTGTGCATCAACTTGGCTTCATTTATTCAGCATTTATTAAGAACTCAATCTTGATGAAGCTTTGTTGTATAAATTAGTGACAAAAAAAAAATCTTTAATAGCTGGAGCACCATTACAGAGAACCAAAAATGTAAAGAAGTAGATATGGTATTAAGAGCAAATTGTAAAAACTCTCCTAATAAATCTGTTTTCTGTTGAAAGACTCTCTGGATTGGACACAATGATAGCACACTGAAGCACAAAGGAGGTAGTATCATACTTTATTGTTTTATTTATCCAGTTTATCAGAATTAAAATAATTATTAAAGCCTAACACAAAAAATGTACCAAAAATAAACGGCAATGGTTATTTTATTTGTGTCTGCTTTATTGTTTATTTACTGTTGTTAAAATGTGTGCAAACTTTTAAAACTGCAGTGTGCTTAATGCCAGAAAATAAAGAAAGTATGTTACCCAGCCTGCAGTCAATCTTTTATTCAGCTTTTCTTTTTGTAGTTTTTCTGCCACAACATCTCTTGAAACAGAAGCTGCAGGTTTTTAAGAGAATGATGAGGAGGAGCAAGTCTAAAATGATGAAAAAGGTTATGACATCCAGGCTGTGGTACTGGTACCAGGTGAGGTCATGTGACTGAACCCTCAGATGCTTGGCTCCTTTGTTTCTCATGGTGAATTCGATCCAGAAAACCGCCTCATCCCGAGGACTCATGGGTCTGTCGTGATTTATTCTGGACAGTCGCATTACATTCTCTTTGTAGCTGTGGAAGGATAAGGTAAAAATCAAGAGCTTGCTATACTTATCTTAGTTCAATGAATGATCCAATGATCTATCCAGTTCTGTATTTGACTGAGTAATGTTTACTTTTTAAGGCAAATACTTTGTGTTTTTCACTCAAATGTCTCAGGGAAAAAAAACAGGCCCTAAAACCACCCAAATAATCCCAAATAAGTAATGTTAGGATGGTCAAATTAATTTCAAAAGTCACGAATGACCCATGGATGGGCATGAAATTGGCAAAATTCCTGGAACTATAGCTTTGGCTCTATCAATTATGTTATTGTTGTTATGATTGATGTTTTTTATCTTAATATTCAATCAATATATTAGACTTTTCTTGAAGATGAACATTCATGTATAATATGCACACAGTTAAAAATTAAATTTTTATATTAATGTAATGTAAGGGTCAGTATTAGTTATATGGTTTATTAGATTTGCAGCTTGGTGTTAACTAAATGCATGAGACCATCAGTGGGATGAACTGGCTGTTTGTGTTTCTGTCATTTTCTATTCTAAATGGGAGTCACACCAGGTCAGACGCATTTTTCATTATGTAGGTCTACCGTAGTTATAAAGGAGATAAAGTTGGCCAATAACCTGAAAGCAGTTTAATGTGTATTCTGTAAAGTTCAAGAACTATTCTAAAGCCTTTTCTGAGTTGATCACCTATATTTTTGGTGCAACGGAGGTTTTGCTGGTAAACAACCTCTGTGGTAGATTATGAAGTCCACCTGCCACAGTGGCTGGTAGTCAAAAAAGTTAACTCCAGGCCCTGTGCACGGACCCCCATCTTAAGACCATGATCCCATGGCGGTTCTTGTACTCTTCAAAAATGAACGGGTGTTTTATTACTACAAAAACTTGACAACTACTCACGATTTGTTATTAATGACTGTATTCACAGCATCCCTCAGTTCGTCAGCATTTAAAGAGTTGAGGTTCACAGTAACTGCTGCTCCTTTGGTCTCCACGTGCACCATGTTTTCCGGCTGGTCACCAAAAATGGGGATCCCCACCATGGGAACGCCATGGTAGATGGCCTCATAGATCCCGTTTGTTCCACCATGAGTGACAAAAGCTCTAGTTTTAGGATGACCTGATGGAAGTCAAAGATATTCATTATTTGCATGGCAATGATGCTGGAAAAAAAAAAACAGGTATCATGTTGATCATTGTGATGTGCCAGCACCAGCTGTATCATGTCAGGATGTGGCAGATTATCTATTTCCATCCATACCTTTTTTTTAATCCATTAAATAGCTGTGAGTTATTAGAAGTTAATGGTTGTATTAGGCATTATACAATTAAAATTAATTGATATCATATCATATCAGACTTTGTGATATAATATTTATTAATATAAATGACACCTTATGCTGAAATGCAGAATTTTCTGGGTAAAAATGTAGTGGCCCCGATTCAAAACAGCAATTTTTAAGTGTGACTATTTGAGAAACTTTACAGTTAGATGTGTTACAATGAGTGTCGAAATATGCAGTTTGTATGCACCCTATTCAGCAAATCAGTTTGTTAAATCAGTTTTCCTAAAGTTTGATGGATCGTCTTATACGCACCTAGCAGGTCATTTTGTGGGATCCAGTCATATAATCTGGTGTTAGGGCCAAGCGTTTGGGGTTTCTCTCCGCTGTAACGCCATAACACCTAAAAATAATCAAACAGGTTTTTTAACAATGTGATCTGATGCATCTTCTTTTAAAAACAGAGCATGTGTCTGTAATAGTCTACACAGGTGAATAGTGGAATTATAAACTATACTTTAAACACTTCAAACATGCAGAACATCTTTTTTAAACAATTAAAAATGCCAGCATTGATATTAATTGAGAGTAATCAAAAAAGAGACAATAACCATAGATTGTTATAATCTTTTTAAGAACAGGGAGGGAGGTTTTTGATGTAAATGAAAAATCTTAAACACGCAAACAAATCTAAAGCTGCTTCTGTGAATCTACTTTATTTAAGGTGTTAAGTTGCAAAAGGATTTAAATGTAGACTTAACACAAAGTTAATATATATCAAGAATTTGATGAGATATATTGTTTAGTGACTATTGCTATCACAGATTTTGGTTGTTTTTTTTCATCCGTCAATAAGTGATGTGGCATTGAGAGCAGGAATATCTGTGCATATGTATTTGTATCACTGGGTATAGATGCCTACATGGTTAAATATGTGTTTTCATGATGGTTTTTAAGTGTTTTGCATGTTTGAAATAAACAGCACCAAATCCAAAACAGTTGGATTCTTTTTCAGATTTTCTGACCTTTTGTGGAATCTGAG